ATTCTCTTCCTTTACCTTTTGCTCTAACCATTTCTCTCGCTTGCTCGTTTCTCTACGATACAACACCACTTCAAACGACCCAAAACGATCTCGCTTCTCATTTCGTCGGATATATGCAAACTTCTACGTTTTCTTCCTTTCTTTCATTCTTCTTCTTCCTCTTCTTCTTCTTCTTCTTCTTCTTCTTCTTCCTTTTTTTTTTTTTCTTCCTCCTTCTTCCTCTTATATATTTTACTTTAATTTAGCTAGCACTAATGTACCTTATGATTATGTATTAAATATTCTTCGTACTTTTATTCAACCTCTTCAGGCGTTTTGCACTTAGAATTATTATTGCTACTGCGTCAAATAATATACTCGAGTGCTCATGAATTTTTTTTTTGTTTTTTTTTTTTTTTTTTTTTTTTTTTCATACACGGGCCATGATACGAGATTCTTTCTTATTTGTTATACGGGTATTGCGTATTTTAATACATATATGTTGATTATTAATAAAGGCGAGGAAAAAGTTCTTTTTTTTTTTTTGTGCATGAGTTCATAATCATTATTTAGGTGGGACATTAAGTTATTATTAATCGTTTGTAATTTTAATTCTGTTATTCTTTTTTTGTCTTTTCTTTTCTTCTTTTTTGTTATTTTTCGTAGAAAATTTTTTTAGAATATACATATATATGTTTTAAATATTACATTAATTATTGCATTAGTTTTCTATTATCAAATTAAAGATATTAAATATTATATAATTTTATAAGAAGTTATATTAGTTATTATAAATAAATATTGAATCGAGATAAATTGTTAAATATTATTATAAATGTCAGAATAATGATAAAATATATTAAATATTATTAGAAAAATATTTTCAAATAAAATCACAATGATAATAATTCAATTCGTTTACATATATTATTATAAATAAACATTCGATCGTGAATTAATTCTTAATATATTTGTTTTTATAAATATGAAAAAAAAAAAAATATATATATATATATAAAATATATTAGATATCATAAAAAATATTTTGCAGTAAATTTGAAAAAAAAAAAAAAAAAAAAAAAAAAAAAAAAAAAAAAAAAAAAAAAGACATTAAATCGATTGACTTATAAATGACAACAATTGTAGTATAATTTAATTATACTAAATGTACTGTTGTATATTAAATTATATTAAACGTTAATATATAACAGTTGCAATTTCCCCGGCTACAAATCTAACGTTTAATGCAATTATTACGTACGTTTATCAGAGATGTACGTTCATTAGACTACGAAATGATTTATAAACACGTGGAATGAACACAAGTACGATATCATTGTGAATTTAAAAGGATTAACAACAAGTAAAGCAGTGTGTGCATTATCAGTGGGCAGAGTGCCATTTGTTGTATCTTAGCGGTATCTATATTTGCTTCCTCTCCCCGTAAACCCCTTTATCTACTCCCTTTCCTATCCCTGTTTTTAGATACAACCACTTAGAGTGCCTTATTTGATCTCCGATCCTATTGGGGTTGAAACCAGTAGGAGTAGTGGATAGCTTTGTCCCTTATAATCTCCCCTAAGTTCATTCCTCATGATGATTTTTTTTTCGTCTCGTTTCATTTTGATATATTATAGATATCGTCGAAGCTACATCATATTTTGACATTCAAATGGTTACATTGAAGTGGCCTGTCATTTCCAAACTTTTTTTTTTCTTTTTTTTCTTTTTTTTTTTTTTTTTTTTGCGGGACAAGTAAAAGAGATAACGCGTTTTAAAATTACAATATTTACGTTACGCACGAAGAGTATGTTAGTTTTTTCGTTAAATTTTGTTCTCTGGTTAAAAGTTTTCGATTTGAAATTTTTTTTTCTTAAATTAATTACTTTTCGATCGTTGTTAATATTTTTTTTTTTTTTTTTTTTTTTTTCTCTTCCTCTAGGCATTACAAGTAATTACAATGGAAGTAAGATATTTTTGCTTCTTTGTCTTTTTTTTTCTTTTCTTTTCTTTTTTTTTTTTTAAGCTTATTTTTAATATTACAGTGTTTATAGCAAAGTGAGGATCATTGTAAAATTTTATCTATGCTATTTGTTGTGAATTATAAAAGATAGATCTTCAAATTTTTGCAGAAGTTAAATATAAAATTTCGTTAATATTTAGATTTGGCCATATTGCTGATTTTTAGGGTAAAGTGTTCGCAAAAAAAAAAAAAAATTTGAACATCATTTTGAAAAGTAAACATTTAATTCGTGTGAAAAAAAAAAAGGGAAACTAAAAAAAAAACATTCTCACGTTTCAGAAAAAGTCTTTCGTAAAATTTTCACTGGAATCGATTTGGCCATTTCATTGATTTTAAATATAAAATTGTTCATAATAAAATACGAGTCAGTTCGAAATTTTATACCACTCTTATCCCTTTTTATATATAGTTTGTTTGTTTATTTTTTTTAAAGATAATTGATAGAAATATTTAATTATAAATAAAAAGAAAATACAGGATGCTTCATAAAAAAAAAAA